TCAGTCTCGAGGATAATTTCATCATCAATAGATGTTTTTTTGAACCTGAAAATATTGAACATACCATAGCACAAGTAAATCGAAATAAAAGAAAATTAATGATAAATAATTAAAATATTAACTTACACCATGATGCATACGATAAATACATTGAAAAAACTGTTAGATGGCATATTCAATATGGCAGTTATAGTAGAACTTTTTTGGCTTGTTCATAAGTGAGGTGCCACATAAATACGAAGTAGATAAATGGTACGGGCCCCTACCCGAAAAAGCACAATGAAAAACGTGAAACAATAATAGATCTTCGCGGATTGGCGCTTTACATTTTTGGCATCGCCGCAATATAAGTTTTATCATATTTTGTAGAGAAAATTTTTCTCTATCAAACTGTGGTTTTCGTTAAAAAGTGGCAAGTAAGAAAATAAAAGAGGGTGCCAACGGTATATCATTGAATCATTGGTTGAAAATACTGGTCCATTAACCATGCCCCAGGGCGAGAAGAACGAATAAGCAACGCGTTCGAAACAGACGAACGCATTCGCAATGCATTCGATAGTGGTCGTACATTTATAACGGGTCTGCCCCATCTAACTGAGTTAAAAGTGATGTATGATCAATTGAAACTTGTAACAATGAACGTTACAAGTGATGCAGCACGTTGCAATTGTTCTAAAGTGAAACGATTGTTTTTGGAAAATTCCAATCGTTTGTCAAAAGATATTTGTCAATATTTTCCATCATTGTAAATTCAATCCTATGTTGTCAATTTCAATAAAAGTAAATTTGCGTGAAAATCATAACGGGATAAAAACTAATCCTTAATCAATTCTATAAAGAAATTGTGATAAATTATATTGTTGTGTTTCTTTTATAGATAGAGATCATTTAGGTTTCTTGAGGGTGTGGATGTGGGTGTAGGGGTTCATGGATTTCTTATATCGTTCACACTCACATCCGCATCCTTTATCTATAACAGAAAAAAAGCAAAATTTCTGTTTGCTCCATGTTGACAGGTGCAATTCAATTGAGTTTGAAATGAATAAACAAACGAAAACTAAATGTCACTTGCATAACATGACGCATGCTTTAATTAACGATTTAGTACTATGCCTGTTTTATTTAATGACATAAAATATTTATTTTCCTTCGCTTGTGAATTTGTTGTCAGATAGAATGAAGATTTTCAATTATAAACTTCAATCTTACATTAATACACACACTCAAGAATGACATCTATTGTGATTTTTTTGAATGTTCTAGGTGCAAAATATTGTCGTAAACGAATTTGTATTCCAAAAATATTCTCTTTCTGTTTCTTGGAAACTAAGGTTCTGTAATGCTACTGATAGATAACTGTATTTCTCAAAGTACATGGAAAAAATCATACGAAATGAGTTTTGGCTATAACTGCATGAGCAACAGTGTCCTAATAATTTAATCATTAATCAGAAAGATTCACGTTCGTCAATTTCCGATAACATTTTTTGAATGATGAATTAGTTTAAGGAACGCATCGGGTTAAGGATTAAAGCCTTACTGTCCAAAATTTCAACAATTGCAATACGACTAAATGCTATTGTATCAGATATACCTTGCTAGTGCTCTATACTATGGAGCTTCAATTAAAAATGAATGTGAATTTGAAGTGTCACTGAGACAGAGATCTCCATTACACATCTATCCTGAAAACTGATCTAATTGTAACTATTAGTACGAAATCAATAAATAATGTTAGTCTTTTTTGTTTGTATTCGTAGAAGAATAAATCTATTTATAATAATCATAGATACACCAAAAGAACTAGAAATCAACACTTTCTTCTTTTAGAATAAACAAAAACAAAATGAATTAAAGATTAGTGCATCGCTATACACAAACAACTAAAACGGAGCAAAAACAAAATCAATCAAACTTTCGCTTGATGGTGTGGGTGTCGGTACTGCACTTATTTACATCCACACCCCAGCCTCAGTCCCACAACCACACCCAATTTACAATCTGATATTTCACTAGTCCAAACTGATGCTCTGAGATTGGACGCTGGCATATGTATTGAATGGAAATGCTGGATTCTTTTAAAAACAACAAGAATTACGCTTCAAATTATTTTTCGATAAAACGGCACGAGGCGGTGCTCGTGTAACTTTTTAGCTGTCCCGTCTGTCGCTGATACAATAGTAGAAACATATTGTTTGGTCCATGATGTGTTTCTTTTAGTATTCTGTTGTCTAGTTGTCGATGCATCGATGTGAAGCTACCACAGCACGATCAGTGTTTCCAATGGAAATCTAAAACAAAATGTACATTACATTTTACTTTTTTCATCAAAGTGTACAAAAGTCCAATTTTCACAATCTAGAAAATAAAATATAATTTTCGCTATTTTTTATCTCATGAAACAAACATTTTGGTCACTAACGAAAAAAAATATCATACTTAATTAATTTAAAACTATATGCGGCTTTTAAGGTTCAGAAATAAAAGAAATCAGCGTGTAAACTATTTTAGCAAAGTGTGCGTTGTATACTTTGTTTTTCTGGGCAAGTGTATAGCAGAGTGTAAATCAAAACTAGCAGATGTTCTTTATATTTTGCTTCTGCTGCGTACACTTGCCATTGGAAACACTGCTTCGCATCGCATTTTGTATACAAGTGAAACTCGAATACCATCTATTTATTTACAATAGTCATGCTTCCTACGTATATTTGGCAAGATGAAACGATGATCTATGAAAATCGTCATCGATTTCATAACGTTATTGGCACATAAGAGGATGTCGAGTTAGTGAAATATTCTAATCATTAATAAATTCCCGATAGACTCTCATGAAGATCAGCCTAGATCAACTATCGTCTTTTTGAAGAAACGAATCATATATATGCCAGTAGAATAGAAACTAAAACAGTAAGTTAGCTGTCTGACGAGAGATTCTTGTGATGAAATGGGGCAAACTAACTGGTTGCATGAAATAATTTTTTCTGTGCATTTTATACGGTCTCTCAGATCCTGGGTAGATATCAGAAGTGTAATATCCTATAATAGTCAAAACACTCTTTAAACTACCCAAAGTTGTAAAGACGAGGTCAAATTTGCTCACCGTGTCTCATTGTATATAAAATATGATTAATCAGTTAGGAAAATTTCCTGGTGAAATTGAATAGGGATATTACTGGTACTGATAGGATTATATATTTGATCAAAAAGAAATAAATAAACTATCGAAATTCATCGAGTGAAAAATTGTGTAGACTTGCTGTTGATCCATAATGATGCTACCTACATTAAATTTTGAATAGAAATGATTATGTTATTATTATAGTAAGATTCTTAAACAAAGGGCCGTACTGATTGTTATTGGGTTGAAAATTCTCATTCAATGATAAGACTATGTTTCATACACATCCATATCATCATAAGTCCTGTTTTCAAAGTTCCAAAAACAATTTAAGAAAATTCAAAACCCACCGGTGCACGTGTTTTAATTGTTTCAGGTCGTATCGTTATTCGTTCATACATCAATTTTAGAAAAATTAAATTGAAACAAGAAAACAGCTGCTTGCAATTATTCATCCTCTTTGTTCTGTTGCAAAAACTCCTATGAATCTTATCAATCAAATAGTATTTATTGAAATCATATATTTTTATGTCACTCAATAAACAAATCCGATTCGAATCAGAGTGCTTATGTAACATTTTTGTTATCCTATACATTGATTTGTAGCAAAATGATTACATAGAATGTTGTAGATAGATGAACAGAAGTGCATTATTGCCATTTCTAGATGTGTACTAGTAACCTTTTCGTGTAATATAATCTTAGCGATGATAGTCATTTCGTTTTTATTTTTACTTCTGACAGTAGACCTAGTTCACCGCTGGCTGTGTGAATAGCATACTTCAAAAGGTGCCATTTCATATTGCTAAGTGATTATAATAAAGTGACTTATTCATCTTATTTCTGACCGTAAAATATTTCATCAAATATTCGTGATTTAATGTTCTAGACAAGAAGCATATAAATATTTAATCGTTTTAATGTATACAGGAGATTACGGTAATAAATATTTTTCTTGTGATATATGATCTATTTAATCGATAGAGATCAATAAAACAATATTTGCAAAAATCAGCTTTGGACTTTTCCTTGTATGTGATTGGTTGTATTACAATCCGAAGTATACTTATCATCAATTAGAATAAAAGTACTCATACTAAGACAATATATTTAGAAGAACATTTCCCTCTATAGTTTCAATTGATAACAATACGTGTTAGTTGATATTGATTCGTCTATTTGTTTTTTTTGGTGTATACGGAAGGACAGCCGTACACAATTATATGACGCATGGCAGATTGTTTTTATCTAGGCCTTTTATTTATTTTTTATATCTACAAACCACATAAAAATCAAAACATCACATTATACAACCGGTAAGTGCTCGATTATATTGACACACGAGTTTTTAAATTTCTTCCATACGTTAACTTATTGAAAACAAAACGAAGTTTATTTAAACAACGAGTATTAATCAGATTATAAATTGCGTTTATAAATATATACATATTGTATTTTCAATAAACATCATCAGGCATTATTCTTGTGCGTTTTCTTTTTGTGTCAACATTAGTATGAATAATAGTGTCGATGATTTCTATTTTCATTCGTTCTCTTTCTTTCTCGTTCTCGTTGTCGCCTTGTTTTTGACATTATAAATCGTTGCTAAGCAATGCCTCCTCAACGGAGAAATCCGAACGATTCGTTCATTTATTGAAGTTGATACTCGCGTTCTCTCATTGGCATTGAGTGTAAAGTAACGACAGAGAAAATGGCCGAGTTGCATGCAGTTATATAGAGAAACAAAAAGAAAAAAAAAGAGAGGAATAAATATAGCACTCAAAATAGAAAACAAAAGTGTACATGATATTGTTGTTTCAACTTTTCTATTTTATTTAGATCTGATTGATTAAAAATTCTCGATGTTTATTAAAATCATCTAATGACTTCCAATCAACAACAATTGCTTACTTGTCTTCATACAGGTGTAACAGTTGATATACAACGGTCAAATGGTCGTATACATCAAGCTGTTATAACACAAATAAATTATGAAGCAAAAAGTGTTACTGTTGAATGGCAAGAGAAAAATGAAGGCAAAGGAAAAGAAGTTGATTTAGATGCAATTGTACAACTTAATCCAAATCTTTTTACATCGGTTACAAATCCTTCATCATCTCATCATAATAACAATAACAATGGTGCTACTGTTGATCATGATACAAATAATAACGGTGATCATTATACAAATGGTGGTACTGTCACACAACCAAATCGTCGTACAAAACAACAAGCTACTGATTCAGAAAATGTACGAAAGCAATCTCAACTGCCTGTTGCTGCTGCTGCTGCTGTCGCCGCTGCTCGACCTGCAGTTATATCTAATCCAGCTGTACAAGTTAATAATGATATTTCACCACAAAAACAACAAACACCAACTATTCCACCAGTACTAGATTCAAATAAATCAAAAGTTGTTAAAGAAATTGAACGCATAGCTGCAAATCGTGAACAACGACGTGCAAGACAAGATGAACGCCGACAGAAACTATCGGAAGTGGATCAATCGATACCGGCATGGGAGTTTCAAGCTATGGTTAGTGAATATAGACAACAACTTGATGTAAAATTATTAGCAATGAATGATCCACAAAAAGATTTAAAAATATGTGTCTGTGTACGTAAAAGGCCAATAACAAAAAAAGAATTAAATAAAAAAGATATCGATGTATTAACAATACCAAATAAAGAAGTTGTTATTGTGCATATACCGAAAGTTAAAGTTGATCTAACAAAATACATTGATAATCAAAAATTTCGTTTTGATTATGGATTTCATGAAACGTGTAATAATGAACTTGTTTATCATTTTACTGCTCATCCATTGGTACAATCATTATTTCAAGGAAATAATCCGATGGTATTTGCATATGGACAAACGGGTTCTGGTAAGTCGAAAAAAAAACGAGAAATAATATTGAAAATAATTTATTATTTTACTTAGGTAAAACATATACGATGGGTGGTGATTTAAGTCAACGTGATGTAGATTTTTCCAAAGGAATCTATGCATTAACAGCTAACGATATATTTCGTCATTTAAATAAACCTCCTAATAAAGGTCAATTCGATGTTTATTGCACATTTTTTGAAATCTATTGTACTAAAGTCTTCGATTTGTTTAATGAAAAAAAACGTTTACGTGTGTTGGAAGATCATAAAAATTTAGTTCAAGTTGTTGGTAAAAAGGAAGAACAAGTGGAAACTGTCGAAGATGTTATGACATTAATCCGTCGTGGTATGAGTGTACGTACGTCTGGTACAACATCAGCAAATGAAAATTCATCTCGGTCACATGCCATTTTTCAAATAACATTAAAGAAAAAAAACGTAACTAAAGACTATGGAAAAATATCTTTAATCGATTTGGCTGGTAGCGAACGTGGAAAAGATACGCAAACAAGTGATAAAACAACATTAATGGAAGGTGCACAAATCAATAAATCCCTATTAACATTAAAAGAATGTATACGTTCCTTGGGACGCAATGCTGAACATGTACCATTTCGTGGTTCAACATTAACAAAAGTTTTACGAGATTCATTTATTGGTGAAAAATCGAAAGTATGTATGATAGCTATGGTTTCACCGGGAAATAGCGATGCTGAACATACATTAAATACATTACGTTATGCTGATCGTGTCAAAGAATTAAATGTTGATGAAGTTAAACGTGGTGCTGGTAATCATGCAGGACAAATGATTGGAGGACATGACGATATGATGTTAGGTCAACCGCTTGACGAAGAAGATGACATGGATGATGATGATTCTGGTGATGATTTAGCTGCTATTAGTAATACTCATAACAATAATGTTAATGCTAATCAAGCAATACCAACATCGCGTTATGCTGGACAACAATCAAATATACCTAAACCACAACAACCAACAAATGTTAAACGTCCTGTGGGGCATAAACAAAAATCGGAAACCTCACGTAAATTTGAAGAAGCTATTGCACGTTCACAAGAAATTGAAGATATAACATTAGAATCACATAATGAATTGATTGATGATTTACCACAGATTGTAGCTAATCATCAAGGTTTACTTGACTTGTCAACAAATATGAATTACGATCGTGATGAATATGCTAAACAATTGATTTCTCTTATCGATAGTCAACAACAATATTTAACTGAATTACGTAATAAAGCATTACAAATGCGAGAAGCTGTTGCATATGAAGATTTATGTGCTAAAGCATTACCATCAAAATGATAGCAACATGAACAAAACTTCTTTCTCTTTTTTATATGCCACCGGTTTTTTCGTTTTTTTTTCTTTTTTCGGTGATACCTTCTCGCCTGCCGCTGTGTGTGCGTGTGTGTGTGTGTGTGTATTAGTCTGATAAGATGATCGTTGGTGTACAGAAGTATAATAAAGCACTTATTCCAATATTTCATTTGTTTCACCCATTGACATTACTCTTTTTCATTTCTTGTTCTTATTATTTGTCACAAGAGTGTTATTGTTGTTCCTGAAAATTATAAAAGCATCAATATAATATGACTAAATATGTAAAATAATATATACGATTCATTTTTTTCATATTGAGGGCGCAGGAAAAAATAGAGTTGGTCGTGATGGTGGTGGTGGGCTTTGTTAAAACTTCTGGCATGCTTTTCATTACTCACTTTAAAATAAAATAATTCTCAAAGACTTATTTGCATGATGTTAACTCTTTTTGAATAAAATTCGAATGATAAAAAGTTGAATAGAGTTTTCATTGAATTAGTTCATAAAAAAATTAATTTCATGCGTGAGCCCCAACTGCGATATAAAAAATAAACAAAGTCAATAGACTAGATATTTGCGGCAATGTCATATAGAATTGAACACATTTTTGTATCGCTCTGCTATTTTCATATCGTTTGTATCTATTTGTTTTAATTCATAAGAAAACTTTCTGAGAACGCTACTTAAAATTTCCATCATATTTTTTATTGTATAAACGCTACAGTGTTCTTTAGTAAGAAACCATAGAAAAAAAATGCCGTGTTGATTAGGATTAAGCGTAACTATTTAGTTTTCAAGTCTTTGTGAAATTGAGACTTCTAGAAAAAAATAATAATTCTGCCTTGACACTATGAATTGCTTGTAACTCTTTCATAGATTAATCTAAATTTATAGTTTTGATAATTTTTATTATATTATAGGCAACTAATTATTTGGTCAGAAAAAGATATCAAGAAAGAATTTTTCTCTAAGCTTACTTAGAGTGCATCCAGTTGTTATTTCGAAGAAACTATTATTGTTTGAAAATTAAATTCGCTACCTGAGACAACTAAAACAGAAATCTCTGTATTTAGGAAAGAAAAAAACATGCTTCTGCATAGCTACAATGGATAAATATGAATAAACATTTGCTCAATTGTACTTTTATCTGGTAGGTTATATTGAAGAAAGCAAAATCCTGTTTCTTTAGCTTCTTATACTATCAACTAAGATTTCTTTTTTGTTTCTTGGGATGAAGAAGGAAAGTCTTCGAATAACAAGGGAAACATTCGGAACTTGAATGCAGCAAGATTCTATTAGCAATCATGCAAACTTGTGATTTCTTTTCATATAGTATTGTTTTTTTTTCAAAAAAAAAGCATGCTTTCACAATTTTTAAAGAACAGTCTGATAGACTCCGTTTAAGCTTAATTGCGCAGCAAAGCAAAAAGAGAATGAACACTTTTTTTTCTATTTTGAGCTTGTGATTTAAAAACAGAATAGTAATTATAGATGATTGATAGAAAGATAATTAATATGTTTTTTGTGCATACAGATAATGATGTATGGCTACCTTTCAGAAAAATAAACAAATGTATTACATCAAAAGATACAGATGCTGGTTTTTTGTCTGTCTTAACCTTGACCGATTCATACTGTAATGATCATGTTTGATAATGGGTCTTTTTTTATCGTTTTTCATATGAGAAAATCTTTTTCATTCGTATTAATTTCCATGCTCTTTATTTTGTTCGTTCTATACGCACCCTCGACAAAAATTTTGCTTTTATCAGTGACGGGAGGCAGCTAGACATAAAGATTGGTCGTTTTCGCTTTTTCATCCAACAAATATATATGTTATGAAACATGACACTGAATGAATCGTTTGCGTACAAGATCATTTTCTTGGTCGTAAATGACTCATTTCAATCTTGCTCTTAACCAAAAAGATGCTATTAGATCAAAATCGAATGGCGGAAAATCGTTTATTGATCTGACAAAATTTTAGCCATCGGAAAAAAAACTATTGGAGACGATTGGGATGCCAAACCCGGAGATGTAATTACATGGAGCGATTACAGAGCAACATATACTGACTTGTGAGTATTGTTATGAATTAACGATCATTAAAAAGAACCTGCTCAATAAAAAAATTCATCTGATGTGAGGTGTACTAGAAGAAATTAAAGTTATTCTACAATAAACTGTCGAATAAATATTTAGATCGAAGATCAAAAAGAACTTAGCTAAGAATACTCTAAAGATCGTTATTCGTGTTCATAACCTCATTGGACATGCTTTTATGACAAATGAGAAATCACACACTTACTCCACGCGACAAATTCTTGATGGTTAACAACGCTTATATGAGTGTTGATTTAACTCCTTCAACAAACAGGATATATATTTCAAATGAAAGCGTACACAATATCACCAATGAGTATNTCTTGATGGTTAACAACGCTTATATGAGTGTTGATTTAACTCCTTCAACAAACAGGATATATATTTCAAATGAAAGCGTTCTCAATAGCACCAATGAGTATTATCCGAATCGATAAATTGAATGTTAATTATTTTGACCTGAATATCGTAGATATTACTATAGAGAAACATTCAAACTTCACTAGTACAGTAATTTATATCTGCGTATATGATTGCATACCTCATTAAAATATTCATTAGTGGATTATACATTTAAAATCATGCAGCCATCTCGATTGACATACGGGATGAATAATTTTGTTGATTTTCTTTCAAAAAGAAAGAGAAGTTGTTGCATGCACATGATACAACAGAAATCTTTACAATATCGATTGATCAAGAGCAAAATAACGAAGTTTATTTAACTGTTTTAGTGTTGATCAGAAACGCTGCCTACTAGAGGATGAGGATACTTCTGGTTCAGGCTACTTAACTATTCCTTTTTCAATGACTCGTCGGTTTCCGTCGACTTTGAAACATTATGAATCATTACTTGAGGATCAACCTTACTCTATCTTGTCCATTGAACTTGCACCGACTGATGGTGTCTTCGTTGAAAAATTTCGTTCTCCACTTCCACAGATCATTAGTAATAGAAAAGACATGTTGTACATGTACAGCCCTGTAGAGATGACATTCTATATTAAAGTTGGTAACAATGAAGCTCAAGAATTTTCAATTAATGAAACAAAAACACAAGATATTGTTGATTATGTAGAAGTGGTAAATTGTAAGATCTTGCTTTGGTTTTTCAGGGAGAAGAAGCATACAAAAAATGGTCTGACGAATTGAAAAATAGATTATTACCTACTGACTGGTCATTTCAACAGCATGACTCTTCTTTTGGTGGATACACTAGTTGCCAAGGTGAATTTAAACTACAAGGATCTGACAAATACAGAGAAGCAATCTACCAAACCACGAAAAACAGACTACGATGAATTTGGAGTAATCATCGATTGACAAATAATTAGATCAACGCTATAAATACGCGACAATTTTCTTATTTCTGCAGCTAATTTTTGTTATTCAATATATTATTCATACTTTTAATCATTTTGATTTCTAAATATTGGCCTATAATCGATCTAAATATTTAGATATAGAGGAGTTGAAGACCTATGTAGATATGACTAAGTAGAGTACATTCATTCTTTTGTCTTTTGTTTTTATAGAAACAACAAATATTCCTATTTGCTTGCATGCAGTTTATCAGATCAATATGCTTCTGTTAGATTTTTATTATCTTTTTACTTGGAATAGTACGTATATAAAGATATTGACCATTGAAAATACAAGCAAAGTTCATATAATTATCTTGCTTTCTTGTGTAAATTACTTCATTAAGTTATGTACCAATGTGTCTATGAAATCAAAGTATTACGGATTTGTCGTGTTGACATGAATATTCTTCAATAGATTTTATTTTGTTTCGATATATAGAATATAATTCAAGAGTTCTATTCAACTTTTCATATAATACTACTGACTCCGATAGATTTTGAGGCTGCACACTAATTTAGTTGATAAAAATGAAATTCTTTTCTTTTGATTTCTAAAATTAATAAAGCACAAGCTATTCTTCCTTGAATAGAATTTTACAAATGTTGCGACTATATGTGTCACACACTTGCGAAACTCGTGCAAGTTTTTTTATTTTTTGTTATCACGCACACGGCATACGGAACAATACAAGAAAAGTAAAAGACAAGTATAATCGCATGCAATCACGATGGTTTACGGTAATAATGAAGGGTACAATTAAGCTGATGATATTTGATTCGTAAATGTCCGAAAGAAGCCGGTGCAATACGGCCCGTAATATTCAGATTTAAATGCATTTTCTGTGCGCATGGAGGTAGTAAGCAATATAAATTTCATTGAACTTCGTAAGATTTACGTGATCAAAAAAAGATCGAAGTGAACTACTTGAGGGTTTACTTCGATGGTAACTCATAATTGAATCTAGACGTTTTTTCCTAGGACATAAGATAAAAATAAATCAAATAATTAGTTCTCTGAACCTCCTGAATTTCACAAGAATTTCGTTATTGATAACAGCCGCATTTCTAAATGCATAGATTGTGTATGCCATACTGAAATTTTGTAAAAACAATTCTTAATCGATTTAAAATTCTTCACTACCAATAATAGTTGTCTCCAATAAAACTCTTATAACAGATGAGACTTTCGAGAGATATATACTTAGTTAGTGACTTATCAGTAAGGAAAGCCAACTTCAAAACTTCTGCACCCTCTAGATTCTTAAAAATATAAAATTCGTTTTTGCTGCCTTGTATGATTCGTATCTACGCTAATAATATTATCTTATTACAGCTTATTCCTGATGTTATTATCAACGTTTGCTTGAAGTTTTTCGGCAACATATGATCATTTTTCCTAGGGTATCAAATAATTAAGTTTTGATAAGCTTTATTTCTGAGATTTCCATGTTTTACTTTGTCAAATGTTAGAAATGAATAAATCATTTTCATTCAGGCTTCTATCTATGAATATTTTAAAGTCTAAGATCAGTTTTATACCGATCTAAGTTCTATCGAGAGTTTTTTGTGACAAAAATTCTATGATTTCAATATTAATCGAAAGTCAAGTTCAGGGAAGAAAATGTTTTTTTTAAGAATCTGTGAAATATTATTAAAATCAAAATTAAATAGCATAATCTCGATTATTAAACACATGAATATAAGAAATAGTTCCCATTAAACTTAAATAACAATATGTCTTCTCATTGATAGCGTTGCAATGTGTACTTGATGAGTTTATGTCTAGCTTTTTGTGTACTCAAAAAGTGAGTACACTCTAGAATCGGTCAGTGTGTCCGGCGGGCCGTAGGCACGATAACTTTTGAAAGCCTCATCCAATTACCATGAAATTTTGTACACAGAATGATCTCATCAATATCTCGGTCTAGTTCGAANCAAAATGCACAAAAACTGCATCCAGAAATCAAATTGCCTAGTTTCTCATGATAATTTTGGTGTTCAGACATTCTAGAATGACTCATATGTCCCATGCACTTTTTACAGTACACATAACTCTCGAATGAAATCCGAAGTTTCCACATTTATTTAAAATAAGCTTTAAGCATAATCCAGTAGTACTCAATGGTTGTCATTGTGATACAATCATAAAATATAAAACGAAATTCACCACCAACTTGTCTGAAATCGCAGAGATAATCTCACATTGTTAATACAAATCTTTGCATGTTACTGATTTTATTCTGCGACGGCACACGAAATGAGTACTATGCGACTCCGTTTGTTTACTTTCGTTTGTTCTTCAGCCACATGGTTATTTTCTTCTGAGCTGAATTTTATTTTTCTATAATGCAGGTTTTTTTTAATTCTTTACTTACTTTTCAAGCGTACGCGTTGCTATTTGTATTGTCAGCATATTAAAGCATCAACACTATGCGAGACTATACACTATGAGATATAATTAATTTAACATTTTATAGAAAACTTAGAGCCAATGTTGATTTGACTAGTTATTAAATTAATCTATAGAGAAATTTCCTAAATAGTGCTTCTCTTCAATTGAAGCAAGATTTCAGTGGTCTTATTTAAGAAGTAATTATGATTACAAACATGCGTAGGATAATCTAACCAGCTTCAAAGATGTCAATCACCCATAGATCAAAGTTCAGACAACAATTAGAACTCAAAAGCTCACTCAATCTCACGTAAGTTTATGCATTCTATTGTATCTGTTCTTCTGCTGCTTATGACTGTTGACTTCTTTTTCATAACGACATTAAGTAAGCACCTTCATTCCTTGTTGAGTTACACATTTTTTATCATGAAATATCACATTCTAAGTAACAATAAGAGTACGTTAAAATTGACATTGTCACTCTCACATGAATTTTTTTTCTATTCTGCTATGTGTGATTCTATCAATGCTGTTTGCGATTTATTTTTAATGAAACCTTCGACCACGGGTAAAGTATGTCTCTCGTTTTTATTTTACTCTTGAATCGATATTTCAACTTAAATTGAAAAATAAAATGCAAATCTGATTCACAATCAGAATTGAGCAGTAGTAGTATTTTTAGGAAGCTATGAAGTGTAGATCTCCTCAGTTTCGTGTCGTGCCTTTATCAATTTTCTGTATTGGTAAGAATAAGTATTTGTTTTTGTTCCAGATGATACGTCAGTAGATCAGTCTATCTTGATTCGACTATATTCAACATTCTAATGAGAGAATTCCATGTACATGTGCACATCAAAGAACAAAACTAAATTTAATTGACGCCCAGGCCCTTATCAGCTGAATATTCGGTTTTCAGCAACGTAATTTTTAAAAATTTCGTTCTAGAACTATATCTTCAGATTATTTCATTTCTGAAACGAAACCGTTCAGTAGATAAAAGCTAGAAAATGATTCGATAAGTAATATGAAAAATAGCTTTCAATGGATACTTAATGGTCTTTCTTCGTATAAATAATAAAAAAATCTAAAACAATAATTAGTTCGATCCTTTAGGAAGAAAAGTGTTTAGTCTATATGTTCAATTCAATTAAAGTGATGATCCTACCAATATATCTCCCTTCTTTATGAGAATCAAGTAAAAGTTAAGATTATTATTACTCAAATATATGTATGAAATCAGAAACTATATTACAAACCCAGGATACTCTGTTATGTTCACATTGATAATTATTACAAGAACTTCTTGTATGAGATGTCCATATTGTTGAAGAATTCCAAGTAAGAAAAAAAAATTCCCCACAAGAGCACGATACTAACGATAAACATATATATATGTTACAGTTGACATGAGAATTTAGTTGAGATTGGAATAATATATTTAATTAAAGATAGAGCAAATAGACAAAAAAGACAGCGAAGAAAAGAAAAGAAAAACGATTTTCGAAAATCAAATTGCAAATAAAGTTATATGAACGATGTGGAAACTTTGTCTATGAGTTAAATTTAGCAAAGTATTTTCCAATTAATCATAATTCCCATGTGTTTCATTACGATGAAACTGCGGCGCAGT